CATTTGTAATTTGTTATTTTGTTTTAAGAATTGTGATTTGTTTTGCACTTCTCGACCACCGTATGAAACACCTATGAGAATGGACCAGGATCTCTCGGAATAGTAATTTGATACATTTATGTACTTGTAGAGTTTTCACAGCCCATTTGCAATGACAGATGAGCAACACACATAAACACAGATACTTCGATAACGGTGCATTCTCGTTCAAACTCAGGACTCGATATAAGGACTGCCCCAAGGCACAAGGTGAGCATAAAAGACGCTCGGGATTGTTTGCGGAACAGTCGAGCGCTCGATATACTCCTGTATCGAATCGAATCGTAGTCGTATCGTAGAATTTTTTGAGGTATCGGCAAATATCGTATCGCTGGGTATGAGAATCAATATCATATCGTATCGTGACGAACCATCCGATTTACAGCCCTAACATTTATGTGAGGGGTACTGTTGCGTCATGTTCAAATATTACTTCAACGTTGCATCTGCTAGAGCACAGAGCTAAACAATTCGCTGAGGGCGGCGACTATACTAATACTGGACTGTCACTCAGAGGCCGTGGCTGGGGCAATGCAGTTTGTGACGTCACAAACTGCAGAGAATCAAAACGGCATGTCTAATGAGGCTGCTTTGGTTTAATGGGGATTAAAAATAAGGAGTGGGTGGATTTTTATCATTGTAGGTTGGTTGTGTTCACACACTGCCAACACACATTTTTGTCCAAACACCTTAGATTTTGCATAATAGGTGCCCTTTTAAGTTGATATCATTCATGAGACAATGAATGTGTAAATCAATGATGTTCTTCTGCTGTTTGTTTGCATATGTTACATTATGAATACATAAATATTTCTCTGCTCACAATCTTTATGATCAGAAGAACAATATTTTCAGATCACTTTCCTGTTTCCTGCGTTTTTGTCCCACTGTCTCAAATTTGATTTAAGATTATCTGTTTCTTTCTTTATTCCTCAGGTTTTCTTGGTGTTAGTACAGACAAAGTATCAGTGTCAGTGATGGAGGGAGATTCAGTCACTCTACACACTGCTGTTAAAGAAAATCAGCAAGGCAGAATTAAATGGTATTTTAATGACATTCGCATCGCTCAAATCACTGGAGACCTCAGTTTTATCTGTGTAGATATTCAGTGTAATGAAGGTACTGAGAGATTCAGAGACAGACTGAAGCTGGATCATCAGTCTGGATCTCTGACCATCATGAACACTAGAACCACAGACTCTGGAGTTTATCAACTAGAGATTTTCAGCAACAGCAGCAGCAGTGGAAACATCTTCAATGTTACTTTACATGGTGAGTAAATTATTGAATTTTTAAAAGCTTCTTATATCAATCTGAAGTTTTAAAACACCTAAAATCGTCCAGGTTTTATTGAAATGTATGCCATTTAATGTGCTGTGTACTGTACTGAAATATAGCAAATTACAAATAAACGAAGATAAAAAATAGATAGAATAGATACCTAAACTACTAAACTACTTTTATGAGAATAGTCAGATATAAGAGCTGAGCACCCTCGTGTCATTTTTTCTACAGTGGAAATCAAATGTTTTTGAGTAAGTTATTCCCAACACTGTTGGAGAAGTTCCTACAAATGTGTTGCACTTGTAGATCATCCTTGATTTATCCCATTACTTACAGAAAACACTCTGAGATATACATTAATATTCTTTTTTTCCTCTAAAATTGCTCAAAAATTGTGTTCAGAAACTTGTGTCTCTTGTGGAGTGATTTAATCATTTCTTTAACACGTGTGCTGTGAAACTGAATTTTTAAAAATCTATTATTTCATAGTTCGCAGATGATGCAAAGTGCAGATAATTTGATGTAAAATGTAATTATAAGCACAAAATGTGGATGTAAAGTGGAGTTACCTAGCTTATGGTCAATCGCCAGCAATTAAACGATAAAGCTGTCATTGATTTTTGCTGTGGCCTTAATTACTTAAACAGCAACCGCCTCATTGCAGAGAAATATAATGTAGCTTTTCAGTACCGAATCTATTTTATTGATAAAAGTCATGGAGCAGAGTTGACAACACGTTTCTGTGTGCATGAATATTTCTGTGATTTTTTTGACAAAGAGATGTGTGCATTAATATTGAACAGTGATTAAACCTGACTGGACCTTAAACTGTTTTTTTACACGGCTCCCTGCAACAATCGATTCTGATTGATCAGTCACAACATTCTGAGGTGTGTTATTCCCGATAACAACCGCTGTCATTAACGAAGCCGAATAACATGCACTCATGCGTTTCACATGTATCATATCACACTGCCATGCTCTCGCTCTTCTCATTCAGACTGCTATCATCTTGTCATCTTCATCTTGACTGTATTTACTGTAAAACGAAGCCAGAGGACTTTAACTATTGTTAATAGTAGGCTTGCGTTAGTATTCTTAAAAGTGTATGTCTTGTTGCTAGAACAATTGTTTTGTACACTGTAATAGATTAAAGATAATCAACAGGTATGATATTAAATGCTTTCTTCTCAAATAACATGTAATGTGCTTGTCTTTATTTATGTGGTGAAAAGCTGTGCAGTTAGTGAAATTACTGTATATGTTATGCCTTACAATGATAGTTCACCCAAAAATTAAAATTACCCCATGATTTACTCACCCTCAAGCCATCCTAGGTGTATA